CCCCAGTGTCCCCAATGTCCCCAATGTCCCCCTGCCCTCAATGTCCCCAATATCCCCAAGGTGTCCCCAATGTCCCCCCAGTGTCCCCAGTGTCCCCAATGTCCCCCCAATGTCCCCCTGCCCTCAATGTCCCCAATGTCCCCAGTGTCCCCAACATCCCCAATGTCCCCCCAGTTTCCCCAATGTCCCCAATGTCCCCCCGCCCCCAATGTCCCCAGTGTCCCCAATGTCCCCAGTGTCCCCAGTGTCCCCAATGTCCCCGCCGTGTCCCCAGACCTTGTGGCGCAGGCGGTAGAGGAGCCCGAGGCGCTGGGCCACCACCAGCAGGACCAGGGCCACCAGGGCCACCAGGGCCACCAGGATGGTCACCAAATCCATGGCAGAGGCTGCAAAACAACGGGGCCACCCGTGTCACCATGGGGCCACCGGTGTCACCACAGGGTCACCACGGGGCCACCGGTGTCACCACGGGGCCACCGGTGACACCAGTGACACCTGTGCCCGTGTCCCCTGTCCCACCTGTGACACCATGAGGTCACCACGGGGCCACCACGAGGTCAGTGGTGACATGGGTGACACCTGTCCCCGGTGTCCTCCATGTCCCCTGTCCCACCCGTCCCACCCGTCCCCAGTGTCCCCCTTGTTCCACCTGTGGGACACCGGGAACCCCTGGGGACACCGAGAACCACCCGAGGCCACCGTGGGAACCCCTGGGGACACCGGGAACTGCTTGGGGACATCAGGAGCTGCTTGGGGACACCAAGAACCCACTGGGGCCACCAGGAACCACCCAGGGCCACCGTGGGAACCCCTGGGGACACCAGGAACTGCTTGGGGACACCAAGAACCCCTGGGGACACCGGGAATGGCCTGGGGACCTCAGGAGTCCCTGGGGACACCAGGAACCGCTTGGGGACACTGTGGGACCCCCTGGGGACACCAAGAACCACCCGAAGCCACCGTGGGAACCCTGGGGACACCAGGGACTGCTCAGGGCCACCGTGGGAACCCCTGGGGACACCGGGAACCCAATGGGGACACCATGGGAACCCAACGGGGCCACCAAAAACCACCTGGGGCCACCAGGGACGGACCAGGGCCACCGTGGGAACCCCTGGGTACACCAAGAACCCACTGGGGACACCGAGAAGCACCTAAAGCCACCGTGGGAACCACTGGGGACACTGGGAATGGCCTGGGGACACCAGGAACCAAACAGGGCCACCAAGAACCACCTGGGAACACCAGGAACTGCTTGGGGAACCCCTGGGGACACCAAGAACCCAACGGGGCCACCACGGGACCCCATGGGAACCCCTGGGGACAGCAGGAACCACCCGAGGCCACCAGGGATTGACCAGGGCCACCGTGGGAACCTCTGGGACAACAGGAACCACTGGGGACACCAGGAACTGCTCAGGGCCACCAGGAATGCAACGGGGCCACCAGGAACCACCTGGGGACACCGGGAACCCAATGGGGCCACCAAGAACCACCCAGGGCCACCGTGGGAACCCCTGGGGACACCGGGAACTGCTCAGGGCCACCGTGGGAACCCCTGGGGACACCGGGAACCCAAGGGGGACACCAGGAACCACCCGAGGCCACCGTGGGAACCTCTGGGGACATCAGAAATGGCCTGGGGACCTCAGGAACCACCTGGGGACACCATGGGAACCCCTGGGGACAGCAGGAACCCAACAGGGCCACCAGGGATTGACCAGGGCCACCGTGGGAACCCCTGGGGACACTGGGAACCACCTGAGGCCACCGTGGGAACCTCTGGGACAACAGGAACCACTGGGGACACCAGGAACTGCTCAGGGCCACCAGGAACCCAATGGGGCCACCAGGAACCACCTGGGGACACCAGGAACCCAATGGGGCCACCAGGAACCACCTGGGCACACCAGGAACCCCACGGGGACACCAGGAACCACCCGGGGCCACCGTGGGAACCCCTGGGGACATCAGGAATGGCCTGGGGACATCAGGAATGGCCTGGGGACATCAGGAACCACCCAAGGCCACCAGGGATTGACCAGGGCCACCGTGGGAACCTCTGGGGCCACCAGGAACCACCTGAGGCCACCGTGGGAACCTCTGGGACAACAGGAACCACTGGGGACACCAGGAACTGCTCAGGGCCACCAGGAACCCAATGGGGCCACCAGGAACCACCTGGGGACACCGTGGGAACCCCTGGGGACACCGGGAACCACCTGGGGACACCAAGAACCCACTGGGGCCACCAAGAACCACCCCGGGCCACCGTGGGAACCCTGGGGACACCAGGAATGGCCTGGAATTAATGGAACCCCGTTTAATTAATTAGACCAGATTAAAGAAGCTCTGGATTAGTTCAACTCAGTTTAATTAGTTAGAGGGGATTAATTGAACTGTGGATTAATTGAACTCCGTTTAATTAATTAGATTGGATTAATTAAACTTTCAATGAATTCAATTCAGTTTAATTAGTTAGACTGGATTTATTAAACTCTGGATTAATTGAACTCAGTTTAATTAGTTAGACCGGATTAATTAAACTCTGGATTAATTGAACTCAGTTTAATTAATTAGATTGGATTAATTAAACTCTGGATTAACTGAAGGCAGTTTAATTAGTTAGAATGGATTAACTAAACTCTGGATTAATTGAACTCTAATTAGATTGGATTAATTAAGCTCTCAATTAACTGAAGGCAGTTTAATTAGTTAGAGTGGATTAATTGAACTCTGGATTAATTGAACTCCGTTTAACTAATGAGATTGGATTAATTAAACTCTCAATTAATTCCACTCAGTTTAATTAGTTGGACCAGATTAACTAAACTCTGGATTAATTGAAGGCAGTTTAACTAATTAGAGTGGATTAATTAGATTTTGGATTAATTGAGCCCAGTTGAATTAATTAGACTGGATTAATTAAACTCTAGATTAACTGAACTCAGCTTAATTAGTTAGACCAGATTAATTGAACTCTGAATTAATTGAAGCCCATTTAATTAATTAGACCAGATTAATTGAAGCCAGTTTAATTAATTACACCAGATTAATTAAACTCTAGATTAATTAAACTCTGTTCAATTAATTAGACCAGATTAATTAAGCTCAGGATTAATTGAAGCCAGTTTAACGAGTCCCAGTTTAACCAGTCCCAGTTTTTCCACATTCCCACGCCCCGCCCACATCATTTGCATAATCAGAGGCTCATTTGCATACACACACATAATGACACGGCTCATTTGCATAATCACAGAGAG